AGAGTGCGCACACGGACGCCAATAGTACGAAGAAACGCTGCGTCACGCGTGCTGCACGTCTCGCACAGCACAGCACGGCGGGTCGCACGACACTAGCGTTAGCCCTGAGCAGCTGCGCAATGATTGACACGGCAACAGGGAAATCGCGCATCACGAATTTCCGGCGCAAGAGGCAACCACAAAAAACCGCGAGACCACCGGGTAACCGCCGCCCCCGGCGCGCTCTCGCAGCAGAAACAAGACACCCCCCACGCGTTGCCGAGCGCAAACACCACACAAACGGCCGTATGCCGGCGGCGACACGCAGGCGACACCAACGCGTCATCTACAGCTACACCACACGCGACGCGTTGCCAGGCGGTTAACCAATCATGAACGCGTTCGCAGCGGCTACACACAACGAGATGAGATGCTGGCCCATCGGTGACGCGTGAATGCGCAGTTCTCCCCAAATCCGCCAAGAAAGCAAAAAAATGTTCCCGTATATCCGCACGTTGCAAGTGTGCGCACGAACTGACGGAAGGCGGATTCACTTCGTGCGGAAAGTGCGGTGTGTGAGAGCAGACTAACGCCTGGTGTGTGAGACGCGTGGCAAGCACTGCTTATACCGTGATCTGCCGCATCCATCCGAGGCAATCGGCAATATCATTACGAGCAGTCGAATCGGGCAACGACGGCAGACGTTTAGGGCGTGAGTGAGTGCTTCTGTCGTGTGCTGCGACCCCACCACAGGCCGCCGGGGAATCGGAAGACCCGCACCGCTACGCCGGGGATCGAAGACCCCACCAATTGCCGGGGGAATCGAAGAATCCATACAAAACACGCGACTTCATGGTAATCAAATCGTCATCGCCGACGGCAGCGTAAGATGGCGCGACGCCGCACGGTCCGGCAACAGCGCCGCAGCAGTCGTCCCTCCGCCCGCTGCTAAGAAAGAGACGGCAACTTCGCTCCCACTACGTCTCCTCATCCTCACGGCATCCCCGATCAAGCTTCGCACTACGGGTCAGACGCATGTGTGTCGGTCGTACGGCTGTCGATCGCTCGGCCAGGTGCGTTGCCACGGGGGGGGGGGGGGGGTGGGGGGGGGGGGGCGGGGGGGGGGGGGGGGGGGAGGGGGGGGGGGGGGGGGGGGGGGGGGGGACAGCATGTGTTGTAACGGTCGTACGGTCGATCGCTCCTGTGCTTCGCCACGTCAGACAGCCGTGTGTGTACGGTCGTACAGTCCGATCGCTCCCAAGTCTTCGCCACTATAATGACAGCGTGCTGTACGGTCGTACGGTCGGATTGCTCCGCTGTGCTTCGCCAGCGGACCAGACAGGCGGCGCATGGTGTATGTGTGTATGTGTGTACGGTCGTACGGTCGATCGTCCCGGGTGCTTCGCCACGTCCAGAGACAGGCATGTGTATGTGTGCGTGGTGTGTACGGCTGAGTACGGTGATCTGCTCAAGGCAGTGAAACGCGTCAGGCAGACGGGCGAGGATCATCAGCGGGCACGTAGACATCGTGTGACAGGCTGATCCAAGACGGCAGTGACCACCGAGCCGTCGCCGCCGCTCCGCCGCCGCGTGCCGGCCATCCTCCTGCGAAAGTAACGAGTCGTTTGACTAAAGTAAAGACTAGCGCGATAACGCCCACGAGAGGACAGCGTCGCGCTGAATAGATGCGCGTGCCACCGATACGCAGACCGACTCGTTTCCTACTGTTTTCAGAACCCGTTTGCTACTTTTCCATGGCTATAATGTCATAGCAACGGTGCGCCGACAACATAGCAACGTCATAGCAAACGGTGTGGCCCAACAACACACCAGCAACGTCATAACGCAACGGTGGTGGCCAAACAACCACAGGCAACGTCATAGCAACGATACATTGACATGGTTATACAACACAAAGTAAATTTCAGCGTAATGTAATCCGGCGTTAATGTTTCACCTCGTCTATGGTTTTATGCGATTGCCGCCAACCAAGGGGTGCTAGGCTACCTTTCCTCACTTTGGCTGCGTCTGTCTGCTGGTATGTGCTAGTAGGAACTCATAGTAAGACATTGTTCGAGTCTGATCGATCATCGTACAGGTGCTGCACCACAACCTCGTCGCTCAGCTTGCTATCCTCCCTGCAGAACAACAACATACACACCGCATGGTGAGGGCATGCCCGCACCACGCACGCACTGTCACAGACGCAGACCGCACAGCAGACAACACCACGCAGCAATCCTCAGTTATAGGCCCGGTTGTGACTGCATTTCTGGAGGTAGTTCTATAAGCCTAATAACATTGATTACCCATTCAGAAACGAATAATCTTTGAATTTCAAAATGACTCATTTTTAAACTAAATGACTAAGTACGTGTAAGTACATATTAAAGTAAGCAATATTAATTATTAAGCGCAAAGTAAACCTAGAATTGATCTTACTTCCACTGTAACTTCTCGATAAGGAACAGGTACTGCAGTACTACATAGTTTGTAGGTGGGCCTATTTGTAGCCTGAGAACAAGTGAGACGGCGCACAGTGAGGTCGGATCGACGTGCTGATAGGGACGTTATGAAATTTCGGCAGTCGTTCCGATGTCGCATTCGCTAGCATCACGTACTCCACTACAGGCAAGATAAAATCAAAATACCATGAGCAATCATCGACATATAAAGCACTAAAATGTGCGGCTTGGTGACAGTCTGCCTGAACATTGTGACCGAAGTCTAACGTAGTCAGTCATCAAAGAAGTTCTTCCATAAATGTATTTTCGAACATCACAACCTGTAATCAGGACTTGACTGATTGAATGTACTTATGCACGCGACGCGACGCACGCACGCACGCACGCACGGCACGCAGCAGTGACACGCCGCGACCCAACACACCAGCATTGACACGGACACGCACGCACAACATTGACACGCACGCATTTGACACCAAGCGACGCACACACACATTGACATGCAGCGGCCATTCGCACGCACTGCACGCAGGCGCGTCCACGCACGCAGTGGATCTCAGGCATCGCTAGCGACGGACTCGCTGCGAACATGTCCTGTAATGAGCTGATCGCTGGGCAGCAGCGTCCCACGTACACGTACAGACACTCCCCCACGTCCATCACATACACATCCGTGACGATCGATGTTGGCAGACGATAGCTGCAGCGATCGCGGCTGAGGCACCGCAGCACCCGACCGTCGGCTCGTCAAAGCAGCCCCGCTGCGGGAAAAAAAACAAAGTTAAAAACGCAAAATTAACAATTTTTTTGCATTTGCGTTGGAATATCGTCGTTGTATTTTTTGCCTTTTTTACATCTTTTTCGGATGTAAAATTTTTCCATAGAAAATGACGTCAGATCTTTGATTTGGCACACCATGTCGTTGTTTAAGAAAACGTGCGAACAATTCACACCGAGGTGTCCTATATTTCTATTGATTTCTATTTTTATATTAATTTGTGGAAGTGTGGTTTAGACACGCTTGCTACACGTTCTTTCGCCTCCCCCCGCCTCTCCCTCTCTCCCTCCCCCTCCCTCTCCCTCCTCCCTCTCTCTCTCTCTCTGTGAGACGAATGAGGAAGGCAGCCCTAGGTGGCGCGATTGGACGGCCCTCTCATCTCTCCTCATCTCGTCGTCTCTCTCTCTCTCTCTCCTCCCTCTCCCCTCCCCTCTCCTCCTCCTGCCCTCTCCCTCTTCCTCACCTCATCCGTGAGGTATATGTAGCGGCGTAGAGACGTAGGAACTAGAACATGTTACAGCATCAGCCAGCGTGCAGCGGTTTCGTCTTCATCTCGTATCATTGCAAACACCCTGATCGAGTTCGTCGACTGTCCGCAGACGCGATACGCAGAGGCTGCAAGCAGACGCGGTCGTCAAGGCAACGTGTCGTACTGCCTTACCCTTTACGTGATTAACAAATTAATTTCTTAATTAATATTTCGCTAAATTCTCAAATTTCTTAATTCATTCTGTTGCCAGCAGAGTTCAAGCAGAACATCGATAATTCAGAGTAATATTTCCTAATACTAAACCACAACAGCTCAACTTCACTGCAAAAACACCACAAGAACGAAGATTTCCAATCGCGCTGCGTCAACCAATCTCCGATCATACAGCCAGTAAAGTAATCGTAAAATAAATCGCGTAGAATAACCACATAGCGACCTTCAACGGCGCGATCCTAAACGACCCCTGACCGCGCGCAGAGGTCGCGATGGCGGCCACTACCGTTTCTCAGCAGAGCGGAGGATGACAATGGTAGGAGTCGAGCGAGTACAGGAAGCGTGACGGTTCCGGTATCGTGTCGATGACGACACATGCGTCTGTCCCGTACGCTGCACATATACGTCCGTGCAACTTGATGGAACGCCTCGCGAGCTGTCGCTTGAAGGCTGCCCGTCACGCGAGCGACATGCACCGCTGCAAAACACAAACACGCAGCGGTAACGAACATCTACGGCGGGCAACGTAAATAACAGATACCAGGTGAACGACATCTACAAAGGGAAGAATGTTACGACGACTTATTAGCGAGTGGTAAGCTTGTTTAGTAGATAACCTCGTTAGCGACCGGTAGCTCGTTACTGCGCGTGGCGGTGCAATGACTCACCCAGTCTTTGCGACGAGGCCCACGATAGCTTGCTGGCGCCGAGGCCGTAGACGTGCCGTTAGACTGCTGGTCGTGGGTAAACCACATCGTGTGAACCCTGATACCCCCGCTGCCCGTGCAACCACACGCCAACGGACAGTGAGAGCGAGCCGCGGGCGTGGCGCGAGAAACACGTGAAGGGGCCGCGCGACAAGGAATCCATGACGTTTAACAGGCAGCGCAGCCTATGCGGCGCGGCGCACAATGTTTACGGTGCAAGCGGCCAGCCAACGGGGCCTGCGCGCATACGACGTTTAACCGCTACAACAACGCTGATCGCGTTCGGCCGAGAAAATAACTGTCGATATAGCTGATGGAGTAGAGTTTACAAGTACTACACTTACCCACAGCGATTATCGCTCTCAAATATAAACTTTACCCGCAAACTTAACCTCTGCGCTAATAACAAGGAATGGCATTCAACGCCTGACCAAAATGGGATAGCTATAAGACTTTGCCCTCGCGCGAACCCCACACGACTCTACTGACCCCCGCACACCGCCCCGCACACTCGACTCGACGTGTAGGAGGCAGCGCCGCCTGGAAGCAAGATGACGGAGTGACCTTGAGGTCGTCATCGATGGACATCTGCATCGGCGAAGCCAGCATCCGGGTTGATGTTAGGCAGCGATAGAAGGTCGGTCGATCGCACGAAGAAGTTACCGTGGAAGGTGTGGATCGACATGCCTGCGTGCGCGCGCGCGCGCCGCGCCGTAGCGCCCAGGCCCGCTCTAGGGAGCGCCGCAGCGAGGGCGAGGAGGATTTATACATGTCACAATAGAGAGGGTGAGAGGGGGCGAGAGAGCGAAAGAAATAGAAAGATGAAAGACAGATCATGTTTGGTTTAGTAATGAGCTGTAGACTCGCACCAACAAGGTGTTGTTAAACAATGCCGCTTAACGAACGTTGTACGAAACAAACCATATCCGCTATCATCGCAAAACAAACTCCTACAGACATGCATCGCCGCCACCCATCCCTGGACAGGGGGCGCTGCCGCAGCCACCCGTCGCGGGACAGGGGGCGCCACCACCGTCGCAGCCTACCTCGCGTGCATCGTATGCGCATGACAGCTTCGAATCCCATCTTCCTCGTTAGGTAGCGCCGCAGGTCGTTCTCCAGCCTCTCAGCCTGCGCCGGCGCTCGCGTCACGTGGAAGCCGGGGTAGTAGTGCATGCAGCCGCTAGAGAACTTGGAGATGCCCCCTGTAAAACAGCGGTGGTGATGCGTGAGTCGATGTGGGGATGACCCCCGAATAGGGGAAAATAGGATTAATGTAAAAATCACCCCAACAAAACAAGAATTATTGTGGTGATCACCCCTCTTCAATTAGGGATAGTAAGATCAATGTGGCGATCAGCCCCCAAATAATGAAAATTGGATTGATGTTGAGATGTCCCCCCACCCCAAATACCAAGAATAGAATCAATGTTGAGATGCCCCCAGAATATCGGCAGTAGATGCGACGTGGAGATGCTCCCTAACGATTTCCAAGGCAGAAACAATAGACACGACATTAGTAACATTGCCTTGATAATTTCTCGTTAAAGCCGAGAATTTCAACCAATCGCGACGCTCGGCGAGCGTGTGCGCCGCGATCGGACGCTCTCTTGTTTTGTTACCTAGCGTCGCGATGTCGCTGTACTGTCCGTTGATGAGGAATAGATCTACCGCCACCTGCTGGCCGGAACATTCCAGCGACAGCTTCTTGTAGAAGTCGTTCGCCGGACCAAGGTTCGCTACGTCCTGTATGCACGAGATAGACGCGCGGTGAGTGGCGCCCCCTGCAGGCCGGTCGGTCGTTGCGTAGACGGAGGTTTAATATAAGATTCTGCTTCGTATGAATCAGCGATTCCGCTACAATCCTCACAATCATGTTACAACCCTCAATGTTCCCATCTCTCCCATCCAGACCGTCACCTTCAATATATATATATATCTAATATTCACATTATAGATTATTATAGACAGATGAGGATTTTTTAAGATAAGAGGCTTCTATCTATAGCTCTGATACTTAACTTGAAGTGCACATTATATACGCAACTTGTAAATCCTTGTGCTTCCGCAGTTTTTTTGCTGTGGCTTGGCAATAAATCCTACTTCATAAGTTGTTGGCTGTAATATTCAAGATGTGCTTAGATATGCTTAGCTTTACCGTCAGTCTTCTGCACACGCGACATGACCTGTATCAACTTCGTCTCTTTCTGTCTTCGTTATAGACCCCTGTGCTTTGAAGACTAATCTTTACGAGGTTATGTGATCTATTCGTGACGATTCTGATGAACGTGACCACCACGGTGTCACGGCTGTTCTCCATGCGCGCAAGTGCAATCATTTATTTATTTATTAATTAATTTAAAGGCGGTACTTTTGTCACGGATACGTCAACATGAGCTAAGTGTGAATAAGTAAGTATTATACCCAGTCCCTTGTTTTTTTATTCACCTCTAATATTATTTTCACGTTACTTTCAGTTTTGCACGAGATTTCGACATAACTCACGTAAAAAAAGACAAACCAACGTTGTTTTCCGTTAAAGACACCTTACTATATTTTACGATTTCTTATCCTTCAACAGTAAATACAGCACGATTGCAAATGAAACACAGATAACCAACGACATCTCTGCATAGAATACAGAAACACTGGTCGACATCTCACAACTCTGAATCGTCGATTCCCTCTCAATAAAGCATCACCGACACATATCACCCAGATATCACCCATTCCCACATTTCCCACATTTCCCACATTTCACTACATATTATTAAATTTTACAGTACAATCAGTTCATTCAAAAAAATTACAATCATTTCCTAACGACCGCACTAGAAACCACGTGCAAACATAGGCGGCGCCAGCATCTCAGCGCTGCCAGGTGAAATAGATTTATGCCAGCGACCGATTATTGCCGCAAATTCGTCAAGTTACGACGCATTTAAAATATCAGCCCTACGTCACGCGCTCGCTCGCTCGCACACACGCACGCTCGCACGCTCGCACGCACGCACGCTCGCACACACGCACGCTCACACGCACGCTCGCACGCACGCTCGCTCGCACACACGCACGCTCGCACGCTCGCACGCACGCACGCTCGCACGCACACACGTTACACTGAGCAGTGCAATGATTGACACGGCAACGGGAAACGCGCGTCACGAATTTCCGCGCAAGAGCAACCACGAAAAACCGCAATCCACCGGAAACCGCCGCCGCGCGGCTCCACAAAATCACTCACACACGCAGCTACACCACGCGACGCGTTGCCGCGGTTACACCACATGATGCGTCGCCGCGGCTACACCACACGAGATGAGATGCTGGCGCCATCGTGTGACCGACCGTGATGCCAGTTCTCCACCGTCAACAAAAAAAATGTTCTGTAATCCGCGTTGCAGGTGGCGCCATGAACATGACGGAAGGCGGATTCACTTCGTGCGGAAAGTGCGGCGTGTGAGACAGACTAACGACCTGGTGTGTGAGACCGTGGCACACTCTTAATCCGTGATCTGCCGCATCCAATCCGCGGCACGGCAATATATACGACAGTCGAACGGCAACGACGCAGACGTTGTCGCATGAGGATCGCAGACGCGCCGGGGGATCGAAGACCCCACCCACGCCGGGGGATCGAAGACCCCACCCACGCCGGGGGATCGAAGACCCCACCCACGCCGGGGGATCGAAGACCCCACCCACGCCGGAAGACCGAAAATCCACACAAAACACGACTTCATGGAGATCATCGTCATCGCTGGTCCAACGTCTCGTGAATGCAGACTAACGTGCGACCGTGTTTCCCGCTCACACGTCCGACGCAGCGTAAGATGGCGACGCGCGCAAGGTCCGGCGACGCGCGCGCAGTCGTCCCTCCGCCTCGCTGCTAGAAGAGACGGCAAACTTCGCTCATCGTCATCCTCATCCTCACGCATCCCCGATCAGAGCTTCGCCACGTCAGACAGCATGTGTGTACGGTCGTACGGTCGATCGCTCCCGGTGCTTCGCCACGTCAGACAGCATGTGTGTACGGTCGTACGGTCGATCGCTCCCTGTGCTTCGCCACGTCAGACAGCGTGTGTGTACCTGTCGCTACAGATTCGATCGCTCCCAGCTGCTTCGCCACTTAGACAGCGTCAAACAGCGGGTGTGTATGTGTGTACGGTCGTACGGTTGATCGCTCCCGGTGCTTCGCCACGTCAAACAGCGGGTGTGTATGTGTGTACGGTCGTACGGTCGATCGCTCCCTGTGCTTCGCCACGTCAGACAGCATGTGTATGTGTGTATGTGTGTACGGTCGTACGGTTGATCGCTCAGGCAGGTGAAGCGTCAGGCAGACGGGCGAGGAATCATCAGCGCACGTACATGTGTGACAGCTGATCCAGACCGGCAGTGACCACCGAGCCGCCATCGCCGCCGCCGCCGCTGCCGCCGCCGCGTGCCGGCATCCTGCGAAAGTAACGAGTCGTTAACTAAAGTAAAGACGTTAGTCGAGACGCCCGCAGAGGACGTGTCGCGTGATAGACGGCGCCACCATCGCAGACCGACTCGTTTCCTACTTTTTCAGAACCGTTTGCTACTTCTCCATGGCATAGTAATGTCATAGCAATGTTGTGCCAACAACACAGCAACGTCATAGCAACGGTGTGCCAACAACACAGCAACGTCATAGCAACGGTGTGCCAACAACACAGCAACGTCATAGCAACGGTGTGCCAACAATACAGCAACGTCATAGCAATGGTGTGCCAACAACACAGCAACGTCATAGCAACGGTGTGCCAACAACACAGCAACGTCATAGCAACGACTACATTGACATGGTTATACGACACAAAAGTAAATTTCAGCGTAATGTAATCAGCGTAATGTTTCACTCGTCTATGGTTTTATGCGATGCCGCCACCAAGGGGTGCTAGCTACCTTTCCTCACTTTGGCTGCGTCTGCTGCTGTATGTGCTGTAGGAACTCATAGTAAGACATTGTTGAGTCTGATCGATCATCGTACAGGTGCTGCACACACAACCCTCTCAGCTTGCTATCCTCCCTGCAAACAACAACACACACACACATGGTGAGCATGCACGCACGCACGCACGCACGCACGCACGCACGCACACACGCACGCACGCACGCACGCACGCATACACGCACAGACGCACGCACGCACGCAGTGAGCACACGGAGGCTGGATACTGTCTGTAAAACAAACTTTTGAAATTTCCCTCAAGTTATAGGCCGGTTTGACTGCATTTCTGAGTAGTTCTAATGCTAATAACATATAATTACTGATTCAGAAACGAATAATTTATGAATTAATGAACATTTTTACTTAAATAACAAGTACGTGTAAGTACATTCAAGTAGCAATATTAATTATTAACGACAGTAATTAAATTGATTTACTTTCCACTGTACTTTCGATAAGGAACAGGCACGCATACTACATATTTTAGGTGAGCGTATTGTACCTGAGAACAATGAGCGCGGCACAGTGCGGTCGGATCGACTGCTGATACGTTATGAAATTTCGCAGTCGTTCCGATGTTGGATTTGCTAGCTCCGGTAGCTCCACCTACAGGCAAGAAAATCAAAATACCATGACATATCGACATATAAAGCACTAAAATGTGCGCTGGTACATTGCTGAAAATTGTGACGAGTCTACGTAGTCAGTCATCAAAGTAGTTCTTCCATAAATGTAGTTTCTCAACATCACAACCTGTATCAGGATTGACTGATTAAATGTACTTATAGAAAAAATACACGTTTGCACGCACGCACGTACTCACACAGTGACACGCACGCACGCACGCACGCCTGCACGCACGCACGCACGCACGCACACACACATTGACACGCACGCAGGCGCGTCCACTCACCATGATCTCAGGCATTGCTGCGACGGACTCGCGTGCGAACACGTCCTGTATGAGCTGATCGCTGGCAGCGCGTCCCACATACACGTACAGACACTCCCCCACGTCCATCACATACACACCGTGACGATCGATGTTGGCAGACGACAGCTGCAGGATCGCCGGCTGAGGCACCAACACCCCGTCGCTCTCAAGCGCCCCCTGCGGGAGAGAAACAAAGTTAAAAAGCGCGAATTAACATTTTTTTGCGTTTGCGTTGGAAATCGTCGTTGTATTTTTCCCCTTTTTTACATCTTTTTCGGATGTAGAATTTTTCATAGAAAAATGGCGTCAGATTCTTTTGATTTGCTACCCCAGTGTTGTTTAAAGACTGCGAAATTCACACCGAGGCGTCTATATTTCTATTGATTCTATAGATTCTCTTCTAGTGTGGGTAGACACGCTTGCTACACGTTCTTTCCCTCCCCTCTCTCCCCCCCTCCCTCTGCTCTGCTCGCCCTCCCTCTCTCACCTTCCTCATCTCCCCTCTTCCTCGTCTCTTCTCTTCTCTTCTGCTCTCTCATCTCATCTCCCACTCGTCTCCCTCTACTCTCCATCTCTCCCCCTCTCCGTCCGTCTCCTCTGCTCTTCCTTCCCTCGCCCCCTCACACGCACCCTCGTGATCCACCACACCCGTCTGACCGTCTCCGGTGCATCCTCGTCTCAGTCTCTCTCTCCTCTCTCCTCTCTCCTCTCTCCTCTCTCCTCTCTCCCCTCTCTCTCTGCTCTCTCCCCTCTCTCTTCTTTCTCCTCTCTCCTCTCTCCTCTCCTCTATCCTCTATCCTCTATCCTCTATCCTCTATCCTCTATCCTCTATCCTCTCATCTCTCCTCCTCCTCTCTCCTCTCTCTCCTCTCTCTCTCTCTGCTCCCTCCCCTCTCTCTCCTTTCTCCTCTCTCCTCTCATCTCTCCTCCTCTTCTCTCTTTCTCTCTCTCCTCATGTCCCTCTCCTTCCCCTTCTCTCTGCTCCCCTCTCTCCTCCTCCTCTCTCTCTTTCCGCCTGTCTCACCTCTCTCNGTGCCATTGTGTGGGGTTTGTTTAAAGACTTGGGCAAGTGCATCAGACGGCCCAATTTTCAAATAATATACAATACGAGATTGAAATAAAGATTTATAATGTTTTTCTTTGTTTTTTTTCGGGCCACCAGATTTCATTTTCGGGCCACCGATCGGGCCACTGAAAAAAAAAGTTAGTGTCGAGCCTTGATGTATGTGCTTGTTTAGCCCTGAATACTGTATGTTTTGCACTGTTTACTACTGTGTGGATAATACATGTATGTTAATAAAAGATAACTTGTATAGTAGCGATGATATCTTTGATTCTCATCACTTTCCCAAGTTTTCTTGTTCAAGTTTTAAAAAAAATAAAAAATAAAAAATTATTTTTTATATTTTTTCCCGATGAAATCGATTATGGATTTTGATAACCAAGCGCTTGGTTCGAGCCACTGTTCAACCGATGATCGAGTATAATCGATGATCGTGACATCACTAAGCGCTTGGTTCGAGCCACTGTTCAACCGATGATCGAGTATAATCGATGATCGTGACATCACTAGCGCTCACCGTTAGATCCTTGAACGGGTGTATTAGTATTCCTAGAGGCAGCTTGGACTTGGATAGCAGAGCCTGGGTCTGCGGTATGCTGTTCACCGTGCAGCGAAATATACTGCAACGCAGAAGCGCAAGAAGGTTACCCACAATGCACCGCCCGACGCTGAACAAGAGACGCGATTATGAAGTAGACGAGAGGCAGCGTGGAACGATGGATCGGGACGAGGAAATACAAAGGTGGCGACACCTGGCGACGGGTTTAACGATGTAAATATCGTCGATGAATATGTGTGATTAGCGTTTATACGACGAGACGGACGGGAGAACTCACTCTGGATTGCAGTTCACTCGCTTGAAGTCGTGTTGCAGTTGCGCCCGCGGCGACTCCAACGGTATTGTGGGTAAAATCACTTTCTCCTGCAGGAGGTTGACCGGCCGCGCGTTGTCCTGTGTGGTGCACGGCGGAGAAACACGTTTAATCGGCGCGTGTGCACGAACAAACAAGCGCGCAAATCGGTTTTTCCCCCGCCCCGATGCAAAACAAGAGAACGATTGCACTTCCTAGCACAAACGTACGAATAACCACGCGCGAAACAAACGACACGAAAAAAGCAAAACGAAAAAAGCACAAATAAAATAAATAAACAAAATAAAGAAACAAAATAAATGAACAAAAATAAAAAATTGAAAAAAAAACAAGTGAGCGTGCCGCAGCGACGAACCTCTATTCCCAGCCGGCCGAACTCGGCCTGCATCCCCGGGTAACCCGTGGCAACAGGATGCGGAAGCTGTGGGGCAGCAGCTGATGGAGCCACGCTGTTTCCCGCGTGATGCTGGTACGGAGGCTGCTGCTGCGTGGGGGCGACACCAGCGTTTCCGTACGACTGTGCTCCGTGCGGCGGCGGCGGCGGCGGCGGCTGAGCGAGGTTATAGGCTGGCTGAAAGAGCAGCAGATCACACGCATGCATGCCGAGCCATCACGTGCAAGCAACGAAGGACCTGGCGTGGCGGGGGCGTGGCATGGCGGGGGCGTGGCGGGGGCGTGGTAGGGGCGTGGCGGGGGCGTGGCAGGGGCGTGGTAGGGGCGTGGCGTGGTGGGGCATGGCGTGGGCGTGGCATGGCAGGGGTGTGGTAGGGGCATGGCGGAGGCGTGGCGTGGCAAGGCGTGGCAGGAGCGGGGCGTGGCGTGCGGATGCTGGCACACGGCAGTGCAGAGTCGGTGATTTAATGTGAACATGAGCTATACAGAGTTCTGCTGTTACAGAACGCGCACACACGCACGCACGCACGCACGCACGCACGCACGCACGCACGCACGCACGCACACACACACACACACACACACAAAGCAATGGATCCGTCTTAACTAACAAATCAATTGGACAGACGCACACACGCATGTATGTAAGCACACATGTACGCACGCACAAGCATGCATGTACGCACGTACACGCATGTACGTATGCACGCATGTACGTAAGCACACATGTACGCACGCACGCGCATGTACGCACGCACACGCATGCATGTACGCACGCACACGCATGTACGTATGCACGCATGTATGTAAGCACACACACGCATGCATGTACGCACACACACGCATGTATGTAAGCACACATGTACGCACGTACACGCATGTACGTATGCACGCATGTATGTACGCACGCACACGCATGTATGTAAGCACACATGTACGCACGCACACGCATGTATGTAAGCACACATGTACACACGCACACGCATGTACGTAAGCACATGCATGTACACACGCATGCATGTACGCACGCACAAGCATGCATGTACGCACGCACACGCATGTATGTAAACACACATGTACGCACGCACGCACACGCATGTATGTAAGCACACATGTACACACGCACACGCATGTACGTAAGCACATGCATGTACACACGCATGCATGTACGCACGCACAAGCA